CGAGGAATTCGTTGCAGACGTACGTCAGATTTTCGACAACTGCTTCACGTACTGGAAGAAGGGAGACCCAATGTGGCTTGCGGGGGAGAAGCTCCAGAAGACATTTGAAGACAAGTTCTCTCACATGAACAAATGGATTGCTAAAATGGGTGGTGATGAAGCCGACTAGATGGGAGCTTCATCGCGAAGATCGACTACGGCTGAAGGAGAATCTCCATCCTCGGCGGCCGGAATCCATGGCGATGTTTGAAACGCCTGTATTATATATCTATATATGAGGTGCGCCCCAAGCTATCTTGTACTAGACAGCGGTTAGGAGACTATAGGATGGGGATACGTGCTTGTGCAAGTACGTAAGGTAATGTGTTTTGTTCGGGCGTCTCTGAGAGGTCTGGTAAAAGGAGAGTCGGATCTTTTTGTCCGCTCACAGTACAACAGTTAGAGTAATTGATTTATTAACCCTGATCAAGGTGGTCGATCGCTGCGTTAGCTGACGATCCTAAGAACTGGCCAAATTAAGTTGAACTAGATCGAGTCACCAAGTGCTCCGGACAACGCCATCTCGCGTCAATAGATATCGGGATGAAGACCAATCTACAGGACATTAACTAGAGCTAAGAAGCATTGACAAGCGCGGGTCTTTTGCTAGTGAACGCTATGGAAGAGGCTGCTTTCTTTGAAGCCGAGAGTGATGGGAAGATAGATGATGTGGTGTTATGAGTCACTGGTCTTTATGGGTAGTTGCATGTCGATTATGCCAGCTCATCCACTGGGAGCTGACCTACGTGATCCTTGGGCTTGTGCTGTCCAGGTGCGTTGTTGATGTAACCGTCGAAGCGTCTGCGGGAAGCCGACGATGAGTTGTCAGTGGATTTATACGAAGACAGCACAGCAGCCATGATATTCTCATCGTGACATCAGTATGAAAGTTTATTTCAGCCGCCGCCAAAAGATTGATGGCACCACGATATCGTACTCATGTACAGAGTACAACAGAGCCATAGAGTCTAGGTAAGGAGTACGGAGGCTAGCAAAGTGATCGAGTCGCGCAAAAAGGTCAATCAATAGACGCTCAGGCTGGCTTAGTTAGTCTGGGGAACAGACTCGCATTGAAATTAAGATTGCCACTGACGTTACTGGGTCCAGGCCTTGAACCCCTGCCAATTGGTTGCTCTGTGGGTTCAGTGGTTGAGTTAATGGCGCATGACCTTGTCGTTTAAATAACCTGAAACCAAGGCCAAGCCCACTGAGCGAAAAAGAGAGACGAGGGTTGGTTGTCAGTCTGTGTGAGAGAGAGCCAATAGAATTGTGTGGATGAGAAAGTGTATCATTACTTAGACAATCCGTTGTCTAAGAGAACAATGGATATTATCCGATACGTACCTTACTCAATCAAAAGACGCCAAGTCTTTGTTCCTGTTCCTGCGTCAGGCGGTCTCTTAGCGCAACGGGCCTCGGGTAGTACCTGCAGCCTCCCACTGGACCCCTGGAGTTACACGACTTACAGTGAGGTGCTCAGACCAGCCACTCACAGGCTACGATGAGTGACATGCCCCAGTATTCAGTCTCAGGTACCTGCCGTAAAAGGCAACACGACCATGCGCTGTCTCTTCCTTTCTCCCCTCACAGAGACAATAGCCGGGACCTGAGAGGTCAGCAAAGAGGCTGATCGCTATTGAAGGAATATCACCCTTTGACGTCAAAAGGGACTTGGCATTTTTCGGTAAACTATATGCAAGATTGACTCTTGAGTTCGGGCGAGAGACCAACACATCCATTCTCCAAGATTGCGCTCTATTGCACTATGGCCCAGTAGGGCTTGGCTTGGCCTGATGTTGTTGTAAGTGGGCGGCTAATTAACCTGGGCTCTCAAATCTATCAACTCAACTCGTTAGTTTGTCTCTACTAGCAGCTGTCATTTGCCCAAGCTGGCGATCATTTCAAAGGAGAGCAAAAGAAACAAGTCGCACCACAAAACCATGTGGTATCGTCTTGTTTTACCTTTTCGCTCCAAGGTTGCATCTACTATTTATCCTCGATAGCTGTTTCAACACAAAACCCTATATCCATGCCTTTCAAACATCTTGTTCCTGTCACAAAACGCTCAAACCATCAAGCAACCTCCGTATCAAGTCCCGTTGCCACCCCGGTCCATCCATATTGGGTATGGTGTTTTTCTTGTCGTCCGCGGATTGGTGGTGATTGAAGCAAACCACGATGGACATTTTAAATTAAAAAATATTAGAAGCATTAGGGGGGCCCCTGTCCTTGTTACCCCCAGGAACAGAACCACTGCAGGGCCAGACTGCTTCTGCATGATGCTCCGTTTGGACCAGCCTATCACGGCCATGAATCCCGTCCCCATTTGCCAGGGAAGGAAAGGAAGGGTCGAGTTTTTGAAGGTTCCATCCATTGCTGCTGCTTCCCGAGAGACGAGAGAGACAGAGCCCTTCCTTCCTTGGGCTTGGTGTGGCCCAGTCTCTCGCTGCCTCTACTAGTACTTACATGAATGTGCCCCCATCTCGACGACTTCATCGTTTGATCTTCCCTCACACACCTCTTCGTTCGTCCTTGTTGTCGTCCCTGCTATCCTAGAGAATCGTCTTTTTATCGATACTCGTTCCGTTCTTTAACAACAACAACAGTCGTTTATACTCTGATCCTAGTTTTATCTAGTATTCACTCACTCGCTTACCGCTCAACGCAAAACCGCCTTCTCCACCATCATCGGTATACCCTGTTTGTGGCTCTCCTCCCTGTCTGCCAGATCGGACTCGTATAAGCCAACCAAGCTCAACTTCAACTTCATTCGAATTTCAGCCTTTTTGCTCGTCTGACAAGATGCTTTTCCGAACCATCGCCTCCATCGCTTTCCTGGCTTGTGCCAGCAACGTTGCTGCCGAGCCCCAGCCTTACAAGCTGGTCAAGGCACCCGTTGAGGGTCTCAGCCTCGCTCGCCGTTCTACTCCCGGATACCAGCCTGATCAGTCAGTCTGTGGTGGCGGCGGTGACACTTGCGCTGAGGCTTGTGGTGCTGGTTACGAGTCTTGCCCTTCTGAGGATGACTCTACCCACTGTTTCAACCCTACCGTTAAGCAGTCTTGCTGCTTTGACGGCACTGGAAGTATGTACCCCCAGACTCATTCGTCTATGAGTCTTTTTCATAGAATAAACCGAATGCTAACTATCTCTTGAGACTCTTGCGATGCAGGTTACTACTGCTCTCATGACACCAAGGCTCAGACCTGGTGTTGCCCTGAATCTATGGATCTTGCTCAGTGTGCCAAGGCGTACGGCGTTAAGGACGGCCTCAAGACCGAGAAGCTCATGACCTCCACCGCTGCTCCCACCGTTGCTACCACCACTGCTGCTCCTACCACCACCTCCGCCCTAGAGACTACTTCGACAACCGTCTACATCACCAGCACCTCTCTTGCCAGCACTGAGCCTGCCACCACCACCAAGTCTGTTGTCGCTAAGACCACGACCAAGGCTGCTAAGACCACCATTGTTGCCCCTAGCTCTGGCTACAGCACGGCTTGGAGTGGTTCCAACAGCACCATCGCCACTGCCGCGCCTACTCAGCCATCTGAGTCTGCTCCCGGCTCTCCTGAGCCTTCCACCATTAGCAGTGGTGCTTCCCTCACCGGCGTGAGCGCCATGCTCCTCGCTGCTGCTGGCTTCTTCGCCCTTCTCTAAGTTACACACTTCCCGTGGAAACACTGGTTTTCGCGAGATACCACCCAAAATGACGCTCATGCGTCGTCGCGAATAATGACTCAATGATGAAGAAAGCAACGAAAGGCTTTATGCGTGGAACACGCCAAACAAGAGGTGGATTGAAAACAAAACACGTGGTGCAATGTCGAGCTGCATTAATCTTCTGATGAAATACCCCCTTTTTCCATATCCCCCGTTCTGTTTACGTCTTCAACCGGAGTTGATCGGCTTGGTGTTTTTGGTTGGCTAGGAAAAGAGCATGAGGAGGACGAGTTGAAACGAAATGAGAAACGCTCAGCGCTTGGAACATACATTCTTACGATCGGTATTCGGTTTTCGTATACCTTATTACACCTAAAACTTATTTACTATTCGTCACGTTGCGAGAGCTTAGTCTCCGCCTCGTATACTTGACATTAATAATTGCCCTGGTAGACAATTTTACTCGACATTGCACACAATTCAACCTAAACATTCTACACAATGATGAGGAACAGTGACGCCTATTTGCGAAATCGTCGTAACAAATGTGAGTCGTTGAGAACAGCAAATATACAAGTCTTATATATCCACTCTTCTTGATGCGCCATGCGCGAATGAGCTGCAGCGAACTTGATAGATCCTGGACTGTGGTGCTATTGTTTTGTGTTAGGGGCTGGATGATTTGTTGACGGTCTAGCATAGTTCAATAGTAGCTCATAACCATGTCCTAGGTTGTATTGATTTACGCACATCACATCTGTAGATCTATCTCGACAGACCATCAGTAAGATACTGCAAAACCTTGTGCAATGACATTTGAGGCGGAAGGCCAAGGTCGAATTGGGACTCTAGGTAACGAAGTTGTACATTCTCCTACAAGACTCTCAAGTCCTGCGACGCCGCAATGTCATGCATGGGTTGAGGAGTATTACGTGATAATGCACCACCAAGTTTGGGAATCACCGTCAGCTGTGAGTGATGTCACATGTGGCCGGGAGCGAAATCCCATGACATGTTGCCCACCAAGGAACACATAACACACAAGATCGTAGTCCTGGTACGATGCGAGTACTGCTGTGGAAATCTGGACGGCATCAATGGCGCAAAACGAAAGGGTATGATTTATCTCGACAGCTAAATACGATGCGTGTTATAGGCAGCGTAAAAGGAAACCGCGAAAGGGCTTCTTCCATCTGATCTGACTCCAATATTGTATGGTCTCATATGCGTTTAGATATTCCTGCTCTTGAGTTGTTCTGTCGTAGAGGCTTGTCTATTCGAAGTGGTGATTTGGACGCTTAGTTGCCAACGGCCTCGGGGACCTTGTTGGCATCGTAGCCGCATTTCTCCTTGAGCTCCTCAACCAGCTCAACGTACTTGGCCTGAGCGGCATCGGGGGTGAGCTTCTCCTCCTCGGCAGCCTTCTTCCAGGCGTTGTACTTGGCCTTGCCCTGAAAGCGGTGTTAGTTCGTCGTAGGCAAGGAATACAGGCTTCTCAACTTGCCTTGAGGTCGAACATGCCGGGGGCGGTAGCAGCGGAGAAGTCCTCACCGTTGGCGACCTTGTAGAGTCCTGAGAACGTTAGCTGAGAGGTCGAAGATAGGGATCACGGAGATTCTACCGTAGAGCCTGAGAAGATCGTCGGTGTTGGGCTTAGAGGTAAGCTTCTTGGAGTCCTCGGCGGCCTTCTGGAAAGATTCAGACATGATGGGCGTGGATATGAGAAAGTTGTTGAAGTTATTGGAGGAATCAAGTTTGGAGAAGAGAGTAAATAAGAAAGAGAAGAGCTGTTGGGGTGTTTGTTGAGGAACTTAACTTGGCTTCTCCCGTCGTGCGGGTTATAGCGGGGTCATGGGATTCGATGGAGGGGCTTAGGGGCCAAGGTGCGCTGAGTGACGTCGTGATCTGCGATTGGTTACTTCGGGGACCTTCTCTACCTTCCTTAAGTGAGATGAGAAGGGGATCTGCCGAGGGAAGGAAGGAGCTGGATACAGGTTAATTGGGACTGAATTGTAAAGAGAGGCACGTGGGTCTGTAATTCTTGGAGATAGGTATATCATTTATTACCTTATGGTAGAGGTATAACGAAAGATTACAGACAATGCTTTGTTAGTATTTCCTAAGGTACACATCAAAATCGGATGCAAAGCATGAGCACAAGCAAGCTTCGAGAGCTCCCCACCTCGGAGCCTGAGACTGAACAAGAGCCCAGCATGAGCTGAACAGAATAGATAGATAGCCCACACATATAACACCAGCTGAAGCTACGATAGCCTCAAATCAGATATTGCAGTATCCGGCGAGCCTGAAACATAGGCCGTTCCGGAACATCTTTTCGTTACACAGCCTTGAACTCGTCATAGACGAGCTTAGTATTGCTCCGAGACCAGCGGGAGCGGAACAATCATGCTCGCTCGGCTTTAAACTTTCACTGCTCACATGTCTCTCCGACGTTATCTACACGTTACATGGGCTACTCAATTTTGATAAAGAGTGCCACAAACCTCCAAGAAATAACCATCAAGCTCACTTCACATCAATTGAGCAATCATGACAAAGACCGTCGTCGTATTAGGCGGTAGCCTAGGCGGTATGGCCGTCACCCACCAACTACTCAAGTACACGCGACCTCGTGAGCAAGATCTCAAAGTTATACTGGTCTCGAAGGTACTCACTCAACAGATTCTGTGCTCTTTACGCCATCGATACTGACAAGCTTACAGAGTAGCCATTTTTACTGGAACCTAGCTTCTGTTCGCGCCATTGTCCCTGGCGTTATAAAAGACGATGAGATTTTTGCGCCCATCAAGCCAGGCCTGGACCAGTATCCTGCCGGCAGCGTTGAGTTCATTGTCGGCACTGCTTCTGGCGTTGATCATACGGCTCGTACCGTGACAGTCGATACGGATGCTGGTGCTGACCAGAAGACCGTGCTCAAATATGATCATCTTGTCATTGCTACCGGTGCCGAAACCGTTGATCCCTCACTCCCTTGGAAAGCATCCAGCTCGCACGAAGAGCTCGTGGAAAGCCTTCACAGCACCGCTGAAAAGGTTGAAAAGGCTACGCATATTGTTGTCGCCGGTGCCGGAGCTACAGGCGTTGAACTCGCGGGCGAGATTCAGTATGCTTATCCCTCGACTACCGTTCTACTCATCTCAGCTGAGGACAAAGTCGTCGCAGGCGACCAGATTGCTGGCAGTGTTGAGTCTGAGCTGAAGCGCCTTGGCGTTGAGATCCGTGCTGGTGTACGATCCGAGGACACGACGGAACTACCGGACGGCAAGACGTTGGTGAAGCTATCCAATGGAGAGGACTTGGTGACAGATTTATTCCTCGCGACGATGGGATTGAAGCCAAATTCTGGGCTCCTGCCCAAGGAGTGGCTCACCAAGCAGGGCTACGTCGACGTGGACGATGAGATGCGCGTCAAGAATGCAGAGGGCGTATGGGCAGTTGGAGACGTCGTATCCAAGCCTCGCGCTGCATTCTTGATCACGGAGGCTCAAGCTGCCGGCGTCTTCAAGAACATTGACCTCGTACTCAAAGGCAGGGAACCACAGCCTGTGAGCGGTCCACGAGTAGATGCTTTTCTATGCGCCACAGGTCGAAGTCGCGGAGCTGGACGCCTAGGCAAAATCCCGGTGCCATCGCTTGCTGTATGGGCCGTCAAGGGTCGTACATTAGGTCTCGAACGTACCAAGAAGTACGTCAACGGAAGTATGTGGTGATTGAGAATGTGTGTAGTGCAATGCCTTATATCCTATTCAAGAAAGCGCCATGATATTACAAAGAAAAAGCAACATACCCACACCCATAATCTAATTAGTTCGCCTATGCTCTCTTCTCATCTTCAATCTCCCGCCTGATCTGCTCAAGAACTTGCTCTCGTGTTCTCAAGTGGTTCTCTAGACCCTCAACCTGCTCCCGGACTGTCTGGAGATCTTCCTGTATGCTCTTGAGACTTCCTCCAGCCGCGCTCTTACCAGTTCCCTCTTCCAATTCCCGAAGTTCTCGTCGCTTGTATTCGAGCAATTGATCGAGTTCCTTCTTAACAAGTGCAGGCTTAGAATCGCGTTTGCCACCTTTCCGGCGTTCCGCGATCTCCTCCACCTTCTTTATCTTATCCTCGAGGTCCTGGAGCTTGCGCTTCAGTCGAACCTCTTCCCAGTCCTCCGTCTTTTCCGTCGAGAAATCCGTGCCCGAGCTCTTGAAGCCGCTTCGACCCAGGCGCGTTAGGTATTGATCGCCAAACTTAGCCTTGCGGCCGGTGCTCGTGGTATCGTCGGCCTTGGTGGCCCAACGCGAGTTAGCGCCTGTTCGCTGATTGTCGACTTGATAATCAATCTGGTTGCGCTCAAAGCTCGATCGAAGCGAGGCCGGAACGGTACGGGGAATTCGGAAACCCTCGTGTCGGTAGTTGAGGATATGTAGGAATGCGAGACAAGCATCTTTGTTGATAGTCGATTGCGCCGAGGGGTTGATCAGATTCCAGGCGGATCGGACATCAGTATCGGGAACGTCAAGGGACTCGTAAAGATCACTGAGCGCATGGACTATGATCGTTAGTTTTATTTTCCGAACATCGGGTTGCCATAGACATACAATCCACCTCGCCGCGCATATCTCGGTTTTCCTGGTAGATTTGCTCGTATTTGGCCTTGTCCGCAGGCTTCATGTACCACTCGAATCCGTCTTTGAGCCCCAGGTCTTCCGAGTCGTCCTCAACCTGCTCGAACTGTACTGACTTTCCGGTGATAGCTTGGCCAGCCTGCACGAGATGAGCCTTGGACTCAGGGACAAGCCAGTCGGGCAATGTTGTCGGCACATCCGCGTATTCCTAAAATTCGTAAGTTACAAAGCCAAAGAACCTTTAAGCTACCGTGCCATACTCCGTTGAGAATATCAAAGATAATGCGCATGGCAACGCAAAACTCCTCGAAATCAAGATTTCCATCATTATCCACGTCCGCAAGATCCCACACTCGTTCTAGCTGATCATCTCGGAGGCCACTGTTCTTCAGAACAGGAGCGGCTTGTTCACCTGTAAGGAACTTGCCGCCTCCTGTTCGCGTAGAGAAGATATTCCAGTACGTCTCAATTTCCTGCGCCTCGATCTTGGGAGCCATGATCACGTCTGGGGGGCTATGGGGAGCCGCGTGGAGTTATTGTTCGAAGTCGAGGAAAAAGCAAGCAAAAGGGCGCTCTGATTAAACCGAATTAGGGAAAGATAGAGGCAATCGTTTCGGCGGCGACCGCAGAGGATAATGAATTAGCGGAATGGCAAAGATGAAGGTTCTATGGTCAAGGTTAGAGTGAGCTGGAGGTTGAATGACGAAGCCAGCTCTCCAGCCACGCTTGGACAGGCCTGCATTTCCCCTGATGCATCTGCGGCCCCCGCTTAGCCAATATCCAAATTAGCGCATAATCTTACTGGTAAGAAAGAAAGCTTAGGTTGCTGATCAGTGAGAGAGGATAGAGCATGTAAGTCATTGGCATCACTTATTCAGTTTACTCTTGTTCCAGCAAGACTTGACGATATGCCACTCTTGACAGTGCAATGCTACAAGATGTATCTGAGCCACTCATGAGTTTATGGACAGGATCCATTAGCATCACCACTCTCCAAGCCCAGCCTGTCATAGAAGCTGTAGTTTGCTAAGGTCATGTACTGTCCAAGTTACTGCTGATCGTGAATATGGCAGTTCATCAGGAACTCGCGCCTTATAGCAAGAGGAGGATAATTTGCATGTTTAGTTAGTAGCTAATAGTTGAGTCCTTGAACCATCATCTCGTAGGCATACGCTAAAACAAGAAGAGGTTCACCGAGAGTCACTAGCCAACAGCCACAGTCCAGGCTTTGAGTGGTTGAGCCCCACTGCCAAATAAGGAAGGGACCTGGAGAGAACCCCCATAAACTCAGCTCTCAATGGCTGATTCACAAGGTTGTGGGCCTGCAGTAGCGGGTAGAGGGGTACGGGTGCCACCCCTGATAACTTTTTGGAGGGGCAAATGGCAAGGAAGGCGCGAAACCAATGACCCTTTAAATTAATCCTTTCTTCAGACCGCTTGACCCTGTTCCTTATATATGTATAGCCTCTGTCTGTTTGGAAAGCATCGCGAACTGCTTCTTCTCTATAACCCAGACTCTTCTGCCGTTTGAATCACCATGTCTACAACAACTACCACCACAACCCAGCCTATCACGGCCGAATCTATGCTCCGTCTCTTCCCGGACATCGACACCAGCTCAGAGCCTCTCTCCGGTCATGATGAGGAGCAAATCCGTCTTATGGATGAGGTCTGCATCGTCCTCGATGAGAATGACAAGCCAATCGGTACCGCCAGCAAGAAGATCTGTAAGGGAAACTGCACCCCTATCCAATACCCCCTACTAACTTGGACTACAAGGCCATCTCATGACCAACATCGATAAGGGCCTCCTCCACCGCGCCTTTTCCGTTTTCCTCTTCAACGACAAGAACGAGCTCCTCCTCCAGCAGCGTGCAACCGAAAAGATCACCTTCCCCGATATGTGGACAAACACTTGCTGCTCCCACCCTCTCCACATCCCTACCGAGACTGGCGCTACCCTTGAAGACTCTATCGCCGGTGTCAAGCGAGCTGCTCAGCGAAAGCTTGAGCACGAGTTGGGTATCAAGAAGGAGCAGGTTCCCTTTGAGGATTTCCATTTCCTCACCCGAATCCACTACAAGGCCCCCAGCGACGGCAAGTGGGGTGAGCACGAGAGTATGTACATCCAATATTATTAAATGTTACAGAATCTAATGGCCGGCGCAGTTGACTACATCCTCTTTATCAAGGCCAACGTCGACCTCGACATCAACAAGAACGAGGTCAGAGATACACAATACGTCACTCCTGAGAAGCTCAAGCAACAATTCGACGACCCCAGCCTGGTTTTCACACCTTGGTTCAAGCTCATTTGCAACTCCATGCTCTTTGAGTGGTGGCAGAACCTCGACTCTGGCTTGAATAAGTACATGAACGAGCAGGAGATTCGACGCATGTAACGACATATGGAGAACGAGTCAAGGAGAGAAAATGCCCAAAACGAAAGGAGAAGCAGTGTAAGTGCCAGACCCAGACTTGGCATACGGTGCATTGGGTTTTGCAGTCAGTCAATCAATCAGCTTAGATATCCGTTGTTAGATCTTGCTGCGTTAATGTTTACGAGCAACTGAAGCCACATTCAATTTGAGACCATTTCACTACCAAATTCACCCATCAAGATGGAGGATATCATGACCAACACGGCCAATCGGCGTTTCAAACTTACTCAGCGCGGCCGGGCCGTTGGACATGGTTATCTTCAACCGAACTCCCGTGTACTAGCCAATGACCCAGGATCATGATGCTTCGGTTCTCCGCATCATCCGGCATGACATACCGGTGGTGAGTCTTATCAAATGACACTGTACTGATAAAAGATTAGTGAGTCCTGGCGCCGTCGCAAGCCGTGGCCATCCACCAACACACAACATGCATGATGCTCTTTGGCATCGCCTACTGCGACCATTTCAGATTGGGGTCCTGCGACTGCATCCAACTGGAACATCGGGGCCAATGACGGGCTTCCCTGGTTTCTCAAATCAAGGGTTTTTAATCTCCTCCGCACTCAGCTGCCCGTGGCTTGACCCTTGACTTGGCTATGTCACTGCACCTGACATTATATCCTTGCACGGAACCCGCGACTTCTGTGCTTCAGTTCGACTGTATTCATAGAATTGAGTCCAATCTAGTCTCTAACTGCACAATTGATTGGAGTATCTCTGGACCCGGACTTCACAATCTGCTTTGCCCGTGCAACGACAGCGTCACCCCCACGGTGTCGCAGCTGATCATGTGGTCTATGATCGTCGTCCTGTAAGCAAACACTGTGCTATTATCTCGCCTCGATTCCAGACTCGCTACTCACTGTCTCAGAATGGATCCCGAAGCTAGTCAATACCCCACGATAGTAGCTGTCATGCATCATCTGGCCAATGGAGTCTTGGGTTCCCACCTAGAGGCGCTCCGTATCTATCTATGCTGCCCATCTCGAGGCCCACACTGCGTAACTAGGACTCGCCCTACTTAATACCCCGAACATTTCCTATCTCTCAGCTCCTCTTTGTTCCTCACCTGTCAACTCAGTCACCCATCTCTCTTCCACAGACACTTACTTTGCTGAAGCCCTCCATCTTGACCAGACAACAGCCGCTGGCCACTAACAGGACCCTCAGTCAGGATATCTTGCTAAGCCCTCTCCCAGAGGAGGCTGCTTTGAAGAATAGCCAACTCGGCGTCTTGCTATTGCTGCTACCACGTGCTGCTTGCTGCACTCAATTTCTTTGCACAGTTGACGGTCGTTGACTGTTGTGCTGAAACCTTTAAACACTCCCACTTGACAATACTTCTATCCATTCTCGTGAACTTTCGAAAGGCTTGGACGCTTCGTCGACGAACTTTGTTCGATACATCCCTCTTCTACTAAGCCGTGATCGCGAGCCTGGCCCGCTCAAGTACCACCTTGATGTCGGTTGAAGTTCGAACCAGCCTTAATTGTCTCCGTCATCCCTCGAGGTTTACGTCCGTTTGCAGAACTCAACTATCACGAGTTCATACGGGCGATAATTGTCAAAATATACAATGTGAGTCTGGATGCTTGGGCAACGAACTTATCATGCTTAATACGCGATGGCGCCCCTTTCATTACCAGGAAGGGGCCCTTAGGTACAGCGAATAAATCCAGTACCGGTTAGACTGCCATCATGGAGATCAGCAAGAATAGTAAAAGTGGTATCCATGGCTCTGGGACGTTGGCCAAGTGGCGGCGACGCTCCCTCATACCATCTACCTGGGAAACCTCTGTTCGTTTCGTTAATGTGAACGAGTCTGCGGCAGCTGGTAGTGCGCTGGCCCAGGCCTTTGCAACAGATGCCATGAGTCAGTATGTACTCGACGGTGACGACATGGCAGATTATTCGGATGAACAAAAGTGGAAGCTTCATGTCGACTATATGACCTATATGGTGGCAGCGCACTGCTACAAAGGAATGGTGACAACCATCGGGTCGGACTATGATGCTGTCGCTCTTTGGTACGTGAGCCACGACTATAACCGCAATCTGATTTAACAGTATTTCAGGCTTGCTCCGGGTCAGCAGATGGACGACTGGTGGACTAGCCTTCGCAGTGGTATGTGGAAGCTATACTATCAACTGTCAGCTGAAGGACGGAGACGGTACTACGATGAGATGATCCCTGTTCTGGACCAGACCAAGGAAGAGGTCATGGGCGAAAGGAACCAGGATTGCTATTATCTCGTCTACATCGGTACCAAGCCTAATGCCCAAGGCAGAGGTTATGCCGGAAAACTGATCCGCGATATGGTCGCCAAGGTACTGCAGTTGATGAGCACTTGTCCTGCCTTCCACCACTAGAAAAAGCTAACAGGAGCCAGGCCGATGCTGAACAACGTCCCATGTATCTCGAGTCCAGCACCGAACATAACAACGGCTACTACGCCAAGTTCGGTTTCGAGGTCAAACGTGACGTCGTCTTTGAGGGAGGCTCCGAGCCCATCACGATGTGGATCATGGTTCGCGAGCCTCAGAAGACTCGCCCCGCTTGTAGCTCTGTTATCGTTTCTGCCGTCAGCAGCGCAGTCAAGTTCTAGGGAGACGAGCCTCTGATCCTTCCAAATGTCGACACAGGGTCAGAGGCTGAAGTCGAAGAGGTTGAGGATATCCAGAACCTCATCCATGAGCAACAAGATTGGAATAAATGTGTTGTGATGTGAGCTCTGGGTGCGCGAGAATTTGCGTAAGTTGTACACCGAGTTCGTTGACTCTTTTCATTCTTTTGGGCATTGGTATCTTTTGATGATATGAAGAAGTTATGGTTCTGGCCATTTCGTGTTACCAATACATGTCGACAGTCTCTACCGCAATAGCTGTCTATCTCTTCTGTTTTTGCAGTGCGCCAACTAGCTCGAGTCATTCATTAGAGAGAAATAACACATATAAGATTGTCATTCCTTCATAAGCTGGTCCCTCCTGTAACCGTAAACACCGTGCACCTAGCTTTTGTAGTATTCCGTGTAAATTGCCCTTCTCGCAGCCCA